ATCACTTCACCTTTAGAAGTAGTGTAAGGGACCATCCCCTTTTCTTTCTTCTGATGCAGGTCGAAGTTCACCACCTTCGCCTCCGGTTGAGGAATTGGTTGTATGCTATCTTGTATTTGTATTTCCACGAAATCCCTAAATTGAAGTGACACCATATTTGCAGACACCTTTTTTTGCTTAGCTTGAAGGGTCATCACTCCTGCATCTAATAAAGCTTGAATCTTGTCCTTCAAGATATAACAAGCTTTAGTCGGATGATGCACCATCCTGTGGTACATGCAAAAGTTAGGATCGTCAGTCCTTGATACTTCTGCATTCTGCTTTACTTCTGGCAGTTTGATCTTATTCATCTTGATTAAAGATGTGAGAATAGAAACCACATGTTCATCCTTGAAATCATATTTCTTCTGAAAACGATTGTCAGATGTATTCCCTTTTTGTTTAGTAGAGGATTTTTGGGATGGAGCTGTCTCAACAGCTAAGGTGTCTTTCCCTTTCGATTGTTTCTGGGAATTATAGTTGCCTTTACGACCTCCCTTTTTGGTTTGTGGTTCTTGAGGTTCTTCAGCACTTATCCTCTTGAGCATGTTTTCTACTTGCTCTCCCTGCCAAACCAAATCCTTCCATGAACAGGCTTCAACAGCGCCCATCCTAGATAAGATATTGATGGAAAGATTGTTACGACACATTTCCACGAGAGTAGCCTCCGAAACTTGGTCGCGTGAATGCAACGATCGATTCCTGAACCTCTTGACGAAGTCACTGACCGACTCCGTTTTCTTCTGCTTCTCTGACAGTAATGTTGCCATAGACATTTCAGTGTCATCATTAAAGAATCAGGCTAAGAAAAGCCTCTCTAAATCTCTCCAACTCTGGATTGACTCAGGTTTGAGTCTACGAAACCATTCAAAAGCCACCCCCTTAAGGGTACTAATGAATAATCGAGTCATGATGGGATCATTCCCTACTATGTGTCCAGTCTGTGTCTGAAAATAATAGATATGTTGGGTTGGAGAACCATTGCCATCAAATTGCACCAAGTTGAGTGGCTTGAATTTCGGAGGATATGGTATCACAGCCCATTCACTTAGATAGGGTCTTGACACCCCCAACTCTTTGAAATTCCCTTGAAGCTTCAGTGCGTCAAGTTGCTTCTGAAAATCCTCCCACTTCTGATCTCGTTCTTTTGTACGAGGATTAGATTCAGCTTCAGACGATTCAGAATGAACTTTCACGACCTTTTCTTCATCGTCTTCATCGTAGTGATCCTCATCAACAGGTGAAGGTCTTCTACGCCTAGACCCTGAGGCTTGGGAATGAGTCTTCTTTTTCTTCTTCTTTTCCTCAGTGAGTCTCTCCACCATTGTTTCCAAGCGTCTGATGGACTCTTGCTGCTTCAGAATGGTAGATTGTTGCTCTTCCATCTGCCGCGAGAGTTCTTCCTCTCTTCCTGTCATATGAGCACTTGCTTGCTCACTTTGGTAGGTATTGGAGAGTTGAGAAGTTGCGATGGTTGAATTTTCAGGTTCAGCACCACTGGATAAGCCCGCTAATTTGCGATAATCTAATGGGATTATCGTTCCAGTACGAGAACGGGTATGTTGATAAACACCATGGCCTTCAATAAGTTCCTCTCGTAATCCCGGAGATCTTTCAAAATCAAAAGACTCCGAATCGTCAGCTGAGATTTTGCTTTTACCCTTGCAGGCCATGTTGATCGTCACTTCAATTCGACGATTCTTGGGCGCTTGTCTTTTAGGACGAAAGCGTCTTCTCCTTGATGATGCGACTGTTGGAAATTCAGTCAATCGCTCAAAGACTGAAGATTTATGCGTTGACTCCCCACATGGACACTGGGAAAGTACCGCTGATGTGAGCTTCTCATAGCAACAATGTGATTGCATCTGATTCACGCTTCGTTTATGCATGAGATAATCCCGAAGGTCACCATCTGGACAACCCACAGTCAATTCTGTTGTCATAGCTTTACCTGAGCGAGACCCTCTAAATGACAGAGGTTGACGAACTTGGGTAAGTTGACAAACTCCGTCATGTGCACGAAGAGGTTCGTTGATAGGACGAGTTTGGTGAGTTCGTCTTCTCGGTCGGTTCTTAACTTGAGGTTCGTTTTCTTGATGAACCTCGGTATGAACCTCTTGTTGATTTTGTTGAACCTCTTTTTGAGGATGAGGTTCGTGTTCTGAGTCTACTTGGGTACAAGGATGAGGTCCGTCTTTCAGATGTTCCTTATTCACCTGCCCCTTATTAGAAGTGTTGACCTTAGGTTGATTAACCTTTGGTCGATAGTGGAAACCGTCTAGCGAGACCAAAGCTCGAGCCCTGCGACGAGCTTGATTCTGACGCTGACGTTGTCGAGCGTGTCTCGACAGTGAACCAGTAAGAACCTTTGCCTCAGTCAAAGCTGGACGAGGTTCGTTATCAAAAGCCAAAGTCTAGCTAGTAGAAGCCGAGGTTCGGTTAGGTTGCTTAACAACCCATCTCTTAGCCTGACGGCTAGTTATTGGAGCCTCCTTCTTGAGGTGCTTGGACTTTTCCTCGAGACTAACTCGAGTTGTATCATCAGAAGCCACTTGGGCTGAAGTCTCATACGAGACTCGACGATACTTTCGTGCCTTCGTGGGACTAGACTTACCAAAGGAGAGGTACTCCTCGTATTTGGATTGGTCAAATTCGATGACCAGAGTCTCGACGTCCGTTCCCACTGCAATCTTGTCTGATTGCGCCACCACCATCTCGTCGGAGAGAATAGCTGCTCCCACTGTGGTCGCCATCTTCTGTAGGGTCGAAAAAGTTATCTGGGATTGATTGATTCTTGTTTTAAGAAATGGGTTCAATCGCTTGGTACGAAATCCTAACAATCACTCACACTCTCTCTCGATTACAGAGGAAGAGAAGATTAATTCAGCTTCTCTTTTGTTTAAGGTGGGTTCTAGGTGGAGAAAGGATGCTTCCCCCGATGCTTGAGTCGAGCTTGCCTCCCGTTGACGATCAGACCAAGATCACAAGAGCTTCTAACCTTTGTTAACCGGCTAGAATCGAGGTTCGATCTTCGGACTTACACACAAAAGCTCTGATTTCTGATGATTAAAAGTCTTAATTTGCCAACCCCTTTCTCTGTAGCCCTCGATAGCTATTTATAGGAGTTTGAGCACGTAACGGACGTGCTAGAATCATGGATCATGGGCGTAACTGATGTGCTAAACTTGTGGAATCGTGGCGTAACTGACTCCTAGAATTTAGCCCATGTGGCTGACTAGGTCTTCGTGACTGTTACAGCCTAATTTAATATGGGTGACGAACTTCACTGCGTTAGCGAACCTCGTCCTTGATGTTGAGCCTCGCTGTGTGGCGAGCCTCGTCTTTGATGTCGAGCCTCGCTGCGTAGAGAACCTCGTCTTTGATGTCGAGCCTCGCTGCGTGGCAAGCCTCGTGAACTTCTTTAATAATGAGCTTTAAATCCGATGACAAGCTTTGACGAACTTCAACTCTTGTGATGAACTCCGAACCTCGTATCAATGACGAGCTTATCTTTGACAACTAGGGTTCAACTCATGTCCAACGACGAGCTTAGAACCCTGTATCCGCTAGTGAATCTCGGACCTCGTATCCAATGACGAGTTCCGACCTCCGTAGATCCATTTCATTCAATAATAAACCTTACCTTTTAGTGTTGAGGTCCACTGCCTGGTGACCCTCATTCTTGAGGTTGATCTTTTCTGAATAACGAACCTCGTTTCTGATTGAAAAGGGGTTCGTTTCCTTGACCACTCTTTTCGTCTTTCAAAATTTTTAGCATTTTTTAATGTCTACAGTCGACTGATGAAACTAGCCAGAATCATCAAAAGTTTCTGTTTCTGCTACTGACTTTCTATCAGTCGACTGATGACCCTTCAGTTGACTGATGAGCTCTCTAGTCGACCAACGTGCTGCAGATCGCTTACGACGATCAACTCATCAGTCGACTGATGAACCTCGTCGGTCGACTGATAAGCTTCCAACGACTAGTTTTATACAGTTTTTAGATTTCTCGGTTTTTGAACGTTTTTGTCTGTTTCTTTAGGGTTTGGCTGTTCCCTTGAATGCTTATAAATACACACCAACCCCCATTCACTTCAGTAACTAAGCAAGCATTTAAATTTCTCTTGAGTTTATGTTTATTGTTTTAAAAGAGCTTCAATTTTCAATTGTTTTCACTCTTGCAAATCCCACATCCCAAGATTCAATTGCAATCTCTTCTTCTTGCCATAGGGCTATTGTAAGAGAGCTTCTTTTTTTCTTTTGTAACTTGTGGAGAGCTTGATCTCGTGGTGATCTACTGTGTGGTTGTGAGATCTCAAGAGGAGATCGTTGTGAAGAAGTTCCGGCTTCCAAACCGGGTTATGATAATGAAATTCTCCTCAAGAGTGGGGAGCAGGGACGTAGGTCGGAGGACCGAACATCGTGAACATATTGCGTGTCACAATTGGCTAACTATCTCCTAACTCATCTCCTTTATATTGTTTTAGTATTTTATTCTATGTTGTGTTGTATTGTCTTAATTTTAATTGCACATTTATTGCCTCATAACCCTCTTCACCCCCTCTAGGGTCCAACAGAATGTAGATGGAAGGGGAACAAAGAAGAGGTGGAGGATTTGAGAAAGGTGATTGATTAAACAAGCCCATTATTTTCACGAAGAAGAACAAAACCTGAGGGAAATAAGTATATGTTATCTCGGATTTTGAGGACTCGTTTTTAATTTGAAAAATTATTAGGTCTATTTAATAAGTGTAAATTAGTCTTGATTAGTAAAATTTAATTAAACTGACAGAATATTGAGGAATGCACTAAGTGAGGGGAAAGAAAATCACAGAGAATTGAGGGGTAATTTTGTAAATATAAAGATTAAGATAGTGGATTTGCAAATATGAAAGATTTGAGGGGTATATATGCAAGCAATAAAAAAGAATTAAAAATGAGACCAAATCAGGCTAAAAAAAGGAGCATAATTAACCGACCCAGAAGCAAACCCTTGGTGTCCTCTCTCTTCGTTCCGCTGACGAAAAAAACTCTGGAAAAGAAAAAAGGACATCAACTAATGGCGGAGACTGAGGCGGTGGAAGTCATTAGATCATCGGAGCAACAAGAAGAACAGAAGAAGATGAGAGAGAAAGAAGAAGGGGAGATCGATGAAGAGAACGACAACGATAATAATCGATCATTCAACGGAGAAGGAGATACTGAGGAGCCACCGCCGTCACTGCTGACGCATCCATTGGAGAACTCGTGGACCTTCTGGTTCGACAATCCGTCGGCAAAGTCGAAGCAGGCCGCTTGGGGTAGCTCTATCCGCCCCGTCTACACTTTCCACACCGTCGAAGACTTCTGGAGGTATCACCACCATCTTCTTCTTCGACTTTTCCATAATTTGTTTTAATTAGGGAAATCTTTTTGTGTTAGGGTTTGAGTCTGGCATCATTTCCAATATTAGGTAATTTTATTGAACAATAATTTGTTACAGTGAGAGGTCTAGGGTTTGGGATCTGAAGTTGTTACCATTCTTATTTAATAGCAGTATTCGGTTTTTGATGTTGTTGGGCTTCTAAGATTATGAGCCAGTGATTATTCTATTTTACCCTAAATTTCTTATTAGGTGAGGAGGATTGTCATTATTGGGATTGAGTTGAATAAAATCTTGGAACTGAGTTGTAAAGTTTTGACATCAGATGAGGAAGTTCATTTGTTAATTTGATTCCTTAATCATTATTTGGATTAATGAGTTTAGAGACTTGTTTTACCAGAATTTTGTTTGGTAAGGGCTGGACTTTACCTCATGCAACTGACTCTCAACATGTCGACAGCTTTGAACTTGTGACTTTATCTCAATCACAACGCCTATATTTAAGTTTTTGGCCTAGATGTTTTCTGATAATTAGTTTTTCAAAGTTGGCATGATAATTGTGAATGCCCTTTGCCATTGAGAAATACGTGCTAAGCTGAAGCTGCTATCTTCTAACCTCCAAGTACTAAAATAGTTTGAAATCTTTCAAATATTCTTACAATAGCTCATTTTACTCACTTAGACCTTTCCCAACTTGTAGATTTCTAAAAATATACCGGTACATGTGGATGTTTGTTAGTCTTATATTTCCACTCCTGCATATTACTGAGAGTTATTGTCTTTTTTCTTTTCATATTACTGAGGGTTATGGTCAGTTAGTTAAACCAGGAATCTATTTTTATTTGTTCTGTGATAAAAAGCTCTATGGTGCATTTTTATATTTCACACTGCATTTCATGCTTCATATATGTGATTGTATAGGAAAAACTTTTATTATGAGTCTTACTACTAATTTTAAGCTTACCCTGTTGACCGCTTGAATATCATGAAGGCATTGGGTATGCATCAAACTTTTGGATATATCAAACCTCTAATTATCGTGCTTGGTGCTGTGGACATGAAACCTAGTGTATCTTGGAATATGTCTTTTGAATTTGAATAATCTTTGTTTCAGGAGGTTCTTTACTTTTGTGCAAAGAAGAAAAGTTTTTTTTTTGATACCTATAAGGTCTAGTTTGTCTCTTAAGTTAGTGAATCAGTTCCATCTAGTAATCCTTATCTTTATGACGGTTTACCTTCTAAATGTTCTCCAGCCTCTACAATAATATTCATCATCCAAGCAAGTTAGTGGTGGGAGCAGACTTTTACTGTTTTAAACATAAAATTGAGCCAAAGTGGGAGGACCCTGTTTGTGCAAATGGAGGAAAATGGACCATCAACTGTGGGCGAGGAAAATCAGATACATTGTGGTTATACACTGTCTGTTCTTTGACCTCTAGAATGAATTGTTTTTCTTTAACTTCAATTTACTGATGTATTCTTTTCGCTGCTTGTGATCTTTCTATATACTAGTTGTTGGCAATGATTGGTGAACAGTTTGACTATGGTGATGAGATTTGTGGAGCAGTTGTTAATGTACGTGGAAAGCAGGAAAGGATTGCCATATGGACAAAAAATGCAGCTAATGAAGCAGCTCAGGTATGCTGTGTAATGCAATATATTGGTGTAATTGTATGTATATATAAACTGTATTTGTTTATTCTATCAATCTCAATGACTTTGATGTGCGCTGTTCTGGTAGTTATCTAGAAATTAAAGGGAGAAAGGTTTTGTTATTAGCCTTTTTTTTCGTCTTTCATATTTACCTTGTAAAGAAACAACTCCCTTACGTTGAATATATCATGGAAGGTGTAAGTGTGATTTATCATGGATTCCTTAGAAGAAACTATTCCTCTTTTAGTTGTCACATGTTATGACTGCTTAAAACTTGCATGATGGAATCTCCTGCATTCAGTAATCAACTGTTCAAAGTTTTAAGCCTGACCTCTGTAATATATTGCATGTCAGTTTCTACTTATATCAAGGAGATTTTTTTCCTTTGCCTCTGAAGTTTTTATGTCTAAAAGAATTTTGAGCTACTCAGGTTTGAAATGTGATCTTTAGTTAAACTGATCTTCTAGATACATCAAGGAATAAACACCATTTACAGTATTTAGATTCAGTTAAACTTAAGACATCATGAAGTATGATTGGAATTGGGATTTGGATTCATTTGCTTCAATGAAGTTCATGTCAGATTGCCATCATGTTGGATAAGATCTTAATTTGCTCTCATGGGGATCTTTTGGAGGAAACCATGGTAAACTGAAAAGTTCATCTGATGCAACAGTTGGTATATAATTTGGTTAGTGATTCATTTCAAGTGGTTATGTTCTCATATTGAATTAGATGCATGTGCTTTCTCTGTAGACTAAGCTTTCGGTTGCTGCCTTAAAGTAACAAGGTGGTACATGATAAGGACATACAAATTTGAAAAATCACATCTTAGAAATCAGTTATTTCTTGTGCATATGTGTTGTGAACACATTACTCTAAGAAGGACGAGTAGCTAGTTGATCATGCACCTTTCAAGCTTCACAGAACGATACACAACTAGGAGATGGTACTTCAGTAAAACACTTGAAAAGCAGATTTTTGGTGACATTTGTGCAACAATTTATGCTCAAACTAGTATATGCATGCAGGTTTGCACTCACATCCACACATGATGAAGACACTCAACTATAGTTGTGCAACAAAAATATTCTGATTTACCATTCTCATATTACTTATCAGATCGTGTTAAATTGCAAGTAATTGATGAGATCTAATGCTTTCTTACAGACTTGAAAACATATGGCCTGATGAAAGCCTTACTCCTTATGATATTGTGACTTCCAATGTCGTATGTGTGAGATTGTTGTATAGAAAAAAGTTCCTAATATATGTGATGAGCTGTGAAGTGGAATGTGAGGCCATTGCGAAACCATTAGTTAGAGCATGCATAACCATTCTGTTAATTGTTAAATGACTTTGATTTGATCAATTGCCATTTTCGTACCTTTATAACTAGAAATGTTTTAACTGATGTTCAGTTATTGAAGATCTTATCTCTCTTCATTCTCACTATGAAAGGATAAAACACTTTGTTATAGTAGGCTAACATCAAAAAACTGCCTTGAATATTTTCCCATTTCCACTAATTTACACGAGCTTTCTAAAATGTAGAAATGTACTGTAAATATTTCCAGAAATTTTCAGTAAATTACCTTCCATTATCTCATTGTTAGTGAACAATCATGTGGGTTGCATGGGATTGTTCCTTGATTTGTTCTTAGTATGCCAAATGATTTATTGGTGTAATCCTCTATTAAATTAAAAAGAAGCACCGCTTATTAATTTTAATCTTCTAGTTATTGCCAGAAGGGAGTTTTTTGAAATTAGAAATTTTTTCGTAGTTATAGTTTAAG